ATATATATATACACATTTCAGTATTTAAAAAAAAACAGTAATTACTCTTTACGTGCACAAATTTAAAATTATTTATTAAATTTTGCTTTCCATGTCTATACAGTTTAATCCAGTACGAGTTTACTTTATTCAACTTCGAAGAAACATAACTACCCAAAAGTATGTGTCCTTCTACCGTTACAAGCATAAATTCTCTTATAAATGCTTCAACATTGGATCTAAATCCCTGCTTTATTAACTACATCTCTAGTGGTCTTTGGTCCTAATAAGATTATTGTTTTTATGGAGCACAATCATGTTGTTTTATTCAAAGCTTATTTTATTATACATGTGTATTATAATATCTGGAATTTCAATGTGAGAGATCAGATCAAGACTCGAAGAGCTCGAGGAGTTCAAGCATTCTAGTAACCACTCGACAATTGGGGAACTTGAACCCCGGTATCAAAATCGACAGTGACACCAAGAACGTCTAATCGGTTAAAGGCATAAATAAATACAACTGACAACATCATAAACATTTGATTGGTAATAAGGGCCGACCGGGGAACTTTTCTTACCACAAGCTCAAGTCTCGTAGCTTGGATTGGACAAATATCCGGAGATGACCAATAGTGAGAAACTCTACGAAAGGTACGACGACAATCATCCCAAAGAGGAGCCAAGGCGGTCTCCTCCCATAGAGAGGGCACCCAATCTATTATGGAGGTCCAATCAAGCGATTAAGACCCACATGTGTGAAGGGTCATAACTCAAGTTCGATCAAATAAAAGTAGTCAGTTGAGATGCCAATGTCGTTCGATGGATCCCTCTACTTACATATCTGAATTGAGCTCATTGTCGGAGATGATCTTTTACCCAACAATGATAAGTTTCTCGAGGGGTAACGGGCAAATCATCCCAAAGGTTCATTCAACAACTAATTTATTAACAGTGATTATCACACTACCAAGGACCAAGCACTAACCAAAGAGTCAGTTCGGAGGAAATGCTTCGGAGCTGACAAGATGACGCAAAAAATGTCAGAACGAAGCACAAAGAGCGCCTAATAGGGAGTATCATCAATGTCATATAATCATATTGTTTTGCTTTATAAATGTTTTTGTCCTTATCACAGTTGTCGCTATCAAAAGCAAGAAAATCATATAACTTAATACATAAACCCAAAATGATTTGTGCAAATCTCGAGATAATCTAATGGTCCAGACAATAAAACTAAAACGCATTACAAAACTCTCTTTAAAGCTAATAATATAATTTTGTATATTGTTCTTTCTATCTTCTATAAATAGGACTATAACATGTATTAAGGCTAATAATGTAATTTTGTATATTGTTTTTTCTATCTTCTATAAATAGGACTATAACATGTATTAGGAACTTTTAGTTCCCTTCTCTTATACACATCTATTTAGTGACCTACGAAACAAGTCTTCCTCTTCCTCTCTTCTTCTTTCTCTCCAATAAAACAAGTTTAAAAGGCTTAGGACACCCAATTCATCCCTACGAGACAAGTCTTCCTCTTCCTCTCTTCTTCTTTCTCTCCCTTGATCACTAGGCTCTACTCCTTGGGTATGATCAGACTGATTTGAATTCAACTATATATTTTATTATTGTTTACAAACAAACAAATGAGCCAGAACTTGAATCAAGTATTAAAAAAAAAAAACAGAAATTGAACCATAAACAATCAACATAAACAATCTACACAATCCGAGTTGCAGTTCTGAATAAAGTTCTAATATAGAACTCGAAATAAAAAAAAAAGGAAATGACAATGCATGATTATAAGCATCATACAGTAATCAATAATAAACAATTGACAGTTTTGGAGCATGATGCCGAGTATTTCGAGGATTCTAATCAGCTATCATCTCGGAGGAGCAAATACTCTCAAATCACTTCTTCCGCCTGCACCGGTGGTGAGCCTTTTGTTCTGTAAAATTATTCTCGCCAACAACTTCTATCCTCTTGGTTTCTGATAAAAATGAAACAATCAATATTAGGAAAAGTCTAATAGATTAATATTCAGCTCGTTAAGATCACAAAATAAAGGTTTCTAAAGACAACATTTCTGATTACAAGCTTAAAAAGCACTGATAACACACTTCTCAAGTTTAAACATTTCAAACAAACCAACAATGCAGACTCGCAATCCCAATACCATATGTAGAGATTGAATGGGAGCAATGTACCCATGAGCAAGTAATAATCAAATAAATGCAGCATAGCTATCAGCAAGACATTGTTTAGTCTTGGGATAAAGTTGCAGGTGATTATGATGGTGCTGTATGGCTTTGTTAACAATTTGACATCGAGCCGATTCGGCCGTGACTCAGTATTGCTCCAAAGACATCACACACAAACAAACACCCTTTTTAATAAGATTTGGAGGGCTATAGGAAAAGATACACCTTAAACTCATAAAAAATAAATAAATAAAGAAAATATGATAGAATCACCAACATGCAGTCACGATAATCAGGAAAATAATAAATACACATGAAAAAAAACATTGGGGAGTTGATGGAAGGAGTTGACGACCTCAGAGGGGTGTGGGCAAGTAGCTCTTTATGTGGGACATGTGAGCACCTAGAACTAGCAAAATAGGATGACCAAGAACTATGTTGAGTTTCCATCTAATGAGTTTCGAACAATCATGGTGAGTTTGCTATGGTTTTCAAAGACTCCCTGGATTTTTGATGAGTTCTAAGTCTTAAGCTCTTTCAATCTTTGCAACTCACCATGGGTCGAGTCAACTATAGATGAACAGTCTGGATATACAAACTAGATCCAAAACATTGTTATATATTTATTTAATTCTCTGAATATCTTGTATCTTTAGACAGTGGGTTGCAAAAAAACAAAAGAATTAGCCAGAAGAAGTGTCAAAAGGAAAACCACGGATTGAGTTCTCTGTAAGAGGGGCAGTGATACTCCTAGTTTATGGTGAGTCAAGCAGAACACCAATTAAGCCCTAGCTCAAGTCCATTATTACTAAGTCTGCTTTAACTAAAACATAGAACACAAAGGAAAAAATAAGAATAGAATGACAAAGAAGTTATATGCCAAAATTACTAAAAAGAACAAAATTGTAGAAGTTGATCGTACACCAACTGTGGAACTGACATCAACAATAGGATCAAATCAAAATAAGCAACCTAGAAGTCCTCCGAGTTACTACGTCTTAACAAACGAGAAGTCACCTATGCCAAATTACAATCCTTTGGAAGTGTCTTTTGCAAAGCTCTTGGGCATCATCTATGACAAGGAATAATTTGGCCGTCTCAAATATACACAACGCTATTGATACTCTCACAAACACATCCATGACAAGAAGGATTATCAACATGTTTGCAACATCAAGAAGGAACTTATCAAAGCTGAGAAGCTTAAGAAATATGTCCACACGAATCCAAGATAGTGCCCTTGAAATAAAAATAAAATATTGTAGTTGAGCATGAACTCGAGGAACTCGTCTCTTGATTTGCCCATTACCAACACGGAGCTCGTTGTTGTCGGATGAGGGATAAATCCCGAGGATGAGAAGAATTTGTGTATATCAGTCGAGGATCGGTCGAACAATCCTGGCATCGTTGTCAGTTATTATTTTTTATGTCTTCAACCGATCAGACATTCTTGGCATTGTTGTCAGTTATTTTTTTCTTCGACCGATTGAACGTTCTTGGCTTCATTGTAAGTTATTTTTTGTCTTCAACCGATCGGACATTTTTTGTGTAGTTGTCGGTTATTTTTTATGTATTCAACCGATCGGACATTCTTGGCGTTGTTGACGTTGCAACGCTATTGATACTCTCACAAACACATCCATGACAAGAAGGATTATCAACATGTTTGCAACATCAAGAAGGAACTTATCAAAGCTGAGAAGCTTAAGAAATATGTCCACACGAATCCAAGATAGTGCCCTTGAAATAAAAATAAAATATTGTAGTTGAGCATGAACTCGAGGAACTCGTCTCTTGATTTGCCCATTACCAACACGGAGCTCGTTGTTGTCGGATGAGGGATAAATCCCGAGGATGAGAAGAATTTGTGTATATCAGTCGAGGATCGGTCGAACAATCCTGGCATCGTTGTCAGTTATTATTTTTTATGTCTTCAACCGATCAGACATTCTTGGCGTTGTTGTCAGTTATTTTTTTCTTCGACCGATTGAACGTTCTTGGCTTCATTGTAAGTTATTTTTTGTCTTCAACCGATCGGACATTTTTTGTGTAGTTGTCGGTTATTTTTTATGTATTCAATCGATCGGACATTCTTGGCGTTGTTGACTGTTATTTTTTGTCTTCAACCGATTGGATGTTTTTGTCGTCGTTGTCGGTTATTTTTTTCTTCAACCGATTGGACATTCTTGCATCGTTGTCAATTATTTTATCTTCAACCGATCAGACATTCTTGGGGTCGCTGTCAATTATTTTTTACGTATTCAACTAATCAGACGTTTTCGGTATTGTTGTCGATTATTTTTCTTCAAAACGTAATAAAATAAATTTTTGTTGCATTAAACTAGATTATATATAGAAAACAAAATTCAATACAAAAACAACAAGCCTTTATCCCACTAAATGGGGTCGGCCACATGAATCCTTTTTTTCCATTGTGTCCTATTAAGTGTCATATTTTTATTTAAATCTAATAGATTAAGATCATTTTTTTACACAATATGCCTGAGTCTATTTAAGTCTACATCTGTCTTTCTTAACGTTAGTCGAAGCTAAAACGCCTACTCTCCTAACCGGATCATCAGATGGTTCACGTTTAGTGTGATAAAACCATCTAAGATGACTCTTTCTAATCTTGTCTGCCACTGGAGCTACACCAACCCTATCACGGATATATTCATTTTGCATTTTGTCTCTTAAGTGTCAAGCCACTCATCCACCTAAGCATTCTCATCCTAGCGACACTTTAACTTTATTTTATGCTTCTCTTTTAAAGGCCAACATTCTGCACCATAAAGCATTGCGGGTCTCACCACCATCTTACAACTTTTTTTCTTTCAGTTTGAGTGGTACTTTTCTATCACACATAGGCCCGAAGCATTCCTCCACTTCTACCAACCAACTTGAATCCTACTAATAACACCCATCTATAGCACCATCACTTTGAACAATAAACTGAGATATCTAAGACATTCACGCTTTTTAATGATTTAATCACCCATAGTTACAACTCTGTCACTAGAGCTACTACTACTAAAATTACATTTCATGAATTCAGTTTTAGTTCTACTCAAACGAAGGCCTTTAGACTCCAATGCAGACCTCCATAATTCAAGTTTTTCCTGAACTCTTTCTCTAGTCTTTTCCACAAGAAGTATATCATCAGCAAAACACATACACCAAGGTACATCCTCCCGTAAATGTCCACTGAGCGCATCCATAACTAAAACAGAAAGATATGGGCTTAAAGTCAATCCTTAATGAAATCCAACTAAAATAGGAAAAGACTTGGTCAATCCTCCTTCTATTCGAACAAAAATAACAACTATAGCATACATATCTTTCATGACTTGTATATAAGTCATATCAACACATTTTTTCTCTAGAACTCTTCAAAAAAACTTCTCTTGAAACCTTATCGTAAACTTTTTCTAAATCAATAAAAATCATGTGTAGATCCTTCTTATTCTCGTTGTACTTCTCCATCAAACCTCTCAATAAATGTATAGCTTCCATAGTAGACCTGTCCGACATAAATCCAAACTGATTATGAGAAATCTTTGTATCACATCTTAAACTTTGTTCAATTACCCTATCCCATAACTTTAAAATAGGACTCATCAACTTAAATTCCTCTATAATTAGCACGCTCTTGTGCATCCCCTTTATTCTTAAAAATGGAGACCAAAATACTATTTATCCACTCCTCAGGCATCTTTTCAGTTTTTAAAATAATATATATAAGAGTTTAATAAGCTAAGGAATTCTCAAATCTTCTAAATATTTCCACACTTCAATGGGAAAATCATCGGGTCCTAACAAAAAGAAATTAGTAAATGATTTTAAATTTTTATACTTAAAGAGTAAAAAATGTATTTTTTTCGAAAAAAAATCTCATTTGAAATTCCGTATAGTTTATAAAATCTTTGTAAATTGGTCAGTGGTATTTATGTAGATATGTAGATATACAAGAATCGAGTGTTATGTATGTAAATATTTTATGTGGCACAGAAAATCGGAGAGAAGGTCGGCAGTAGCCAGACAGAGGCAGGTGAACGGCCAGAGTGACATCCACGGCAGATAAAATAGCAAAATTTAGGAGTTAGACATGTAAAGACAATACATACATAAATGTCCCTTTACAAGGTAATCAAGTTTCAGGTAGGCATTAAAGGGTTGTCTTGATAAATGAATTTATAGTAGGATTTCAACCAGAAAAATAAGTGATCCAACTAGGAAAGAGAAGACAGAGCAGGAGGTTTAATTGGGATAATTTTTACAACTATAGTGTCATGGCTGTAGTGGTTCATGTCTCATTTCCAAAGAAATAAACTTTTCCAGACATTTTAATTATAATGCGCAATGAAATATAATTTTGACGGATGAGATTAAATTATAATTTTAATACATTTATCGAACTGGACATTAAACCGGAAAAATGTGAGGTTTAAGGTTCATTGGTTTGACCGGGGATGAACAAGGGGTTGAACTGAATCACAATATAAATATTAAATATCATATAATCATATAAAATTAAAATATATATAAATATAAACATTAATATATATATATATAT